CCCCAAATTTTGGGTCCTAAAATCTGAATTTTGTGTCTAAAACCTCGAATTTTTTGGCCCTAAAATCCAAATTTTGGATCCTAAAATCCGAATTTTGGGTCCAAAAATCTGAATTTTGGATCCTAAAATCCAAATTTTGGGTCCAAAAATCTGAATTTCGGGTCCAAAAATCGGAATTTTGGGTCCAAAAATCAGAATTTTCCCCCCAACCACCCAAATTTTGGGTCCAAAAATCCGAATTTTTGGTCAAAAAATCCGAATTTCGGGTCCAAAAATCCGAATTTCGGGTCCTAAAATCCGAATTTTGCTTCCCCCAGGGCTTTCCGGGAGCTCGTGGTGGGACGACACCGAGGACCTGCAGAACCTCTGGGCCACGGCCTCGACCTTCATCGTCCTCTTCATCCTCAGCCTATTCTACAGTGCCACCGTCACCCTCATCAAGGTACCCGAAAAAGCCCCAAAAATCCCCTTTTTTGCCCCAAAATCCGCTTTTTTTCCGGGGAAAAAAAAATCCCATTTTTACAAAAAAATCTGATTTTTTCCACCCCAAAATTGGTTTTTTTTCGGGGAAAAAACCCCCCATTTCTGCAAAAAAAATCTGAATTTTCTGCCCCCAAAGCCCCCTTTTTTTCACTCCCAAATTGCTTTTTTTGGGGAAAAATCCCTCATTTCTGCAAAAAAAAAAATCTAATTTTTCTGCCCCTAAACCCCCTTTTTTTACCCCCCAAAATCGCCTTTTTTCCCCAAAAAATTGTGTTTTTTTCAGGGAAAAAAACCCCAAACCATTTCTGAAAAAAAATCTGAATTTTCTGCCCCAAAACCTCCGTTTTTTTCGCCCAAAACCCACTTTTTTTTTAGGGAAAAAAATTCCATTTCTGAAAAAAAAATCTGATTTTTTTGCCCCAAAACGCCCCTTTTTTCCCCCAAAAAACCCTTTTTCTTCCACTCCAAAACCCCCTTTTTTCGCCCTAAAACCCCCTTTTTTTGCCCGAAAAACCCTTTTTTTCACCCCAAAATCTGTTTTTTGGGGGGAAAAAAAATCCCATTTTTAAAAAAAAAATCCGATTTTTTTGTCATTTTCTGCCCCCAAAACGGCGATTTTTTCCCCAAAATGGAGCAAATCCCTTTTGGGGGGGAGAAATTCCACTTTTTTTTGGGATAAAAAACCCATTTCTGCAAAAAAATCTGATTTTTCCGCCCCAAAATCGTGATTTTTGCCCTAAAATCTGATTTTTTTTTGCCCCAAAATCGCGATTTTTCATACGATTTTCGCCCTAAAAACTCCCTGTTTTTTTCCTGTTTCTGCCCCAAAATGGCCCCAAATTTCCCCGTTTCCCCCAAATTTGCCCCAATTCCCCCTTTTCTGCCCCAAATTTGCCCAAATTCGCCCAAATTTCCCCCAAAACCGACAAAATTTGTCCAAATTCCCCACAAATTTCCCCCAAAAAAATCTCCATTAATTCCCTTTTTTTTTTTCCCCAATTCCAGGTGAAATGACCCCAAATCCCGACGGATTTTTCCGGATCTTCTGGAATTTTCCCCCCTCTGGAATTTCCCCCCTGGAATTTTCCCCTCCCCCCCCCTTTGTAAATAAACCCCAAAAGCTCCCAAAATAAAGGTTTTTTTACCCATTTTTTACCGATTTCTGAGTTTTTTTCCTTGGATTTTTAGGGAATTTTGGGAAATTTGGGAGAATTTTGGGAATTTGGGGGAATTGGGGGAATTTTGGGATATTTTGGGGGAACTTGGGGGGTCAAAAAATGGGTCAAAATCCACAATTTTCACCCCAAAAATTGACATTTTTGGGCGGTTTTGCCCCCCAAAAATCGACATTTTGGGGGATTTTAATAAAAAATCAACATTTTGGCGGATTTTTGCCTGAAAAAATCGAAATTTTTGGGTCAGTTTTTGCCCCCAAAATCGACTTTTTTTGGATTTTTTTTAACCTAAAAATCGACCTTTTTTGGTCTTTTTTTTTCCAAAAAATCGACATTTTTTGGATCTTTTTTTGCCTCAAAATAGACATTTTTGGGGTCTTTTTTTGCCCAAAAATTCAGATTTTTTGGGGTCTTTTTTTCCCCAAAAAATCGAAATTTTTGGGGTCTTTTTTTCCCCAAAAAATCCCCATTTTTGGGCATTTTCACCTCAGTTTTTTTTCTCACGGGAACATTTTTGGGCTGAAAAACAGCAAAAAAAACCCCCCCTCGGGTTCTCACGGGAAATTTTGGGTCCAAACCCTCCAAAATTGAGTCACTTCCCCCAAAAAAGGAGAAACGAAACCAAAATCGACCCAAATCGGGGATTTTTGGGGGTAAAAAGGGGAAGTTCTGGGGGGGGAAGGGAAATGGGGAGAAAAACAAGTTTTTGGGGCATTTTGGTCTCAAAAATTCACATTTTGAGTTGTTTTTTTGTTCAAAAATCGACATTTTTGGGACATTTTTCTTGATTTATTTTGCAAGATTTATTTTTATTTATTTTTATTTTTAATCCTTTTATTTCACCGTAATTTTTTAATATTTTTATATATATAAATGAAATTAAATATCAAGACCTTTAAATCGTTCATTTTAATGTGTTTTTAAATATTTTCTAATAATTACAAATGAAATTAAACATCGAGACCTTTAATTCTTTTATTTTAATATTTTCAATTATTTTTTATAACTACAAATCACATCAAATCTAAATCTATTTAATTCCTTTATTTTAATATGTTTTAATTTATTTTCCAATTAATTTTCAACACATTAAATAAATATTTTCATCATTTTATTATTTATTTAATTTAAGTATTATTAAATTAATAATTTTCACCCTGGGGGTGAAAAAATACCCGAAAAATGGATTTATTTTTTATTGATATTATTGATATTGATATTATTTATTAGTGTTAATATTATTTGCTATTAAATATAAATATTTATTATATTAAGTAAATAATATTAATAATAAATAAATATTATTACCATAAATAATATTGTTGTTTATTAATATTATTATTTATTATTTATTTTGGTATTTTTTACACCTGTTTCATTTTTCAGTTATTTATTTTCATTAATCCATTATTAATCCATTATTAATCCATTATTAATCCATTA